AAATGTGTTGCTATTTTAAGAAATGCTGTAATTTACAGTATAATCTGACAGGTGTGGAACTTGATTTCCCCTAAGGTCACTCAAGTTCACTGATGAAGCGTAAAAAAATAGATGTCTATTTCGTCATTAGAATATTTGACAAGGGTGATTAACCAATCAGGGCAACATTGTGCATGATCAAAAGGTCTGTCGGCACAGAGGCATACAAGGAGCAATAAAAATCGTCAGTACACAGTGTGACAGGAGCATTTGGTGCAAATTAGGAACAATTAAAATGGACAATGCGCAGTAATAGACATAAGTAGTAAGAACCAGCAATTGTGTGAATAAATTATGCAAATTAGACTTTTGAGCAGCCAATAAAAATGATTTGCCTGCAGTGAATATTAGGCTACGATTACGATGCGCAGCATCATACGTTGAAAGACATGTTAACAATTTACTTTTCAAAAGAGTTGCTTATATTTTTGAAATGTGTACATCAATTATAACATATGTCCGCACCTTTAAATTTGAAAGTCAGAATCAAACTGCAAAAATTTAATTATATGTACTATTAATTAAGAACACGTTTTTAGTAGGGTTTTTATAATGGAAGTGGCTAGCGTACGAGCCCGTACGGCTAGCCAAAAGTTTTAGCCGTACGTGAGTCACGTACGACTAGCAAGGACACGCTGTATTGGCTAGCCGTACGGCACTTTTCAAAATTTTATGGAAGTCGAAAATGCATATGTTATTTTATGACTTTAAGCGAGGATTTTAACCAAGAAACAGCATTAATTGTCTTTGGATGTTAACTTTTTAGAGATTAATCGCCTTGATCGCTATATATATCGATCTTTGTCATCGCAAGATGTCGAGAAAAAAAATAGACTTTGCTTGCATTTACACCAATTGAAATAGTTTACAAAATTGTGATAATAATCCTTTTTTGTTTCATTAAGTTTAATTTTCGACACCTTTTATATGAAAAAAAAAACAACAAACACTGAAAATGATTGTTGTTATAGGCTCTTGATAATTGCGACAATTACCGACGGTACTATAGAAGTTTGTCCATCAAGGAAAGTTTGCATGTTCCGTGAAAGGCATTCTAAAATTCTATTGTCAGTCCCTGGATAGGTTTTAATCAAGGCTAATTAATTGATTGACTGTGCTTTTATGTTCGATATTTATCTACTGTTTTGAAAATTATATAATTATTTTTGCATTTCACCGGTTTTTTTTTTTTTTTTTTTTTTTTTTTTTTTTTTTTTTTTTTTCAATGTTCTTTTTATTTATTTATTCCACTCCGATCATTTTTTATTCGATCCATGTGCTTAAAATTAACAAAAATGATTTAATAATTCATACAAATAAAACAACAAATGATAAGCATGAAAATCAACAATCTTATAACGTTTGACTTCCATATAATTTTGAAAAGTGCCGTACGGCTAGACAATACGTACAGTGCGTCCTGGCTAGTCGTTCGTGACTCACGTACGGCTAGAACTTTTGGCTAGCCGTACGTTTCTTTATTTTTTATTTATTTATTTTTTGATATTGTTACGTATTTTGAACCATAAAAAATCTCCTCTACACCTCCTGTGAAAATTAAATTGTCTGGTCATTAATTAATATTTCCTTACGATTCAACTAGATTTATCATGAATCTAAAGATGTGGGGAAATGACATCACGCGCACCTGTTTTTATACGGTCAATACACAAACATGGCCGCGCTTACTGATTTGTAGAAATCGGTGATTTAGCGATTTAAATTTTGTTATCATTCGTTTAATATTATTATTTGGCGGCAGAAAATTTGCAGACTTATTATTTATAGTATTCTTTTTCTGAAATCAAGTTTTTATTCTAACCTTGTCTTACCCTTTAATTATTTGCACAGAAATTACTTATTAACTTTTTAAAATAATTTCTACAAACACAATATGATATTATTGATTTTGTAATTAAGAATTTTCATACGTATATATTTATAGCAGTGACTCCAATAACTTGGTCAGTTTGAGATTTTCTAAACGCTTTGTTAAGAGGACGAGATAAAAATGATGTCTTGCTGTTTAAAAATATATTTGTTCTTAATTTTTACTTGTCAACACCTTAAGGAGACAAAAGGTATATATTTTTAAATTTTAGATTTAATGTGTTACATTTTTTGATCGGTAAAACTTCGATAATTGTAATAATTTCTAAACTTATCTTATCTATGGTATTGAGTTCCTCTCGGTAAATCTTAATATGTGTTGTATTATGAATGTTATTAGACAGCGCGCGCACGCGTCGTTTAGTAGATATGCATTTGTTCATATAGCAATGGGGAAATTTTTAGACTTGATTTTGTGCATTTTGTTCTTGTTTAAACAAAATAACATTGTTTTCATTTTTTTTTAATAAAAATAGCTTTTTTGATGTACAACATGTCACAGAGCTTTAAGGGGGTTAAAATAAACGTTTAACTGCAGTGATAGTGCCATGTTTGAATATCATATTCTTTTAATGATTATCTAATTTTATCTACCTAATAAATAACTGGCCAATTGGCGGAAATATTGTTTGCAAAACAGAAAAAAACTTGTTCGATATGTAATTTATGAAAATAATTAACATTTAAGTTAAAAAAACAGATTAACTGATTGAAAAAAGTACATTTATTTTAAAATGTATCACATATATTTGCAATAGGTTACTTTGAAGGATTCTGTGACTGACGATTGTTCTCTTTCACCTTGATTTTTTACTACATTTAGTGGTCCTATACCTAGATTCAAGGCGAAAATGCCATCTTTAGTATAATCAAAAAGTTTAATCTTTTAAAAATAAGAAAACAATACGTAACTAAGAATTGATTATAAATATATTTAACTTGTTAAATTATGTTATTCATTGTTATTACTGTTATTATCATTATTATCATTATTATCACTATTATTATTATTTTATTATTATTATCATTATTATTATTATTATTATTATTATTATTATTATTATTATATCATCATCATCATCATTTTTATCACCATCATTATTATTATTATTATCATCACCATCATTTTTATTATAATTATTATTATTATTATTATTATTATCATTATTATTATTATTATTATTATTATTATTATTATTATTATTATTATTATTATTATTATTATCATTATTATTATATGCAGCAGCATCATTATCATCATCATTTTATTTAGTTTTTCAAACTTACTTGTTCATTATGTTTTAAACATTTTCATCTACAACAGAAATGTTTGTTTTATCTTGGGCAAATTTAAGCTTTGTTTGACTATAATCGTCAAAATTTAAAGAGAAAAATAAAGCATGAAATTTAAAAGTATTCGAAAAATAATAGTTTGTTTACGAATATCACAAACATTAAATGCCATCAAAACTGAATAAAGCTATGTTGGAAAATAGTTCTATTAACATTTCTAAATTGATACGTTTTTTCATGCCAAGAAAATGTGATTTTACGATTAAAATCACACAAAAAGACTAGGAATAAGACTGTGACATCAAAATAAGTATTATTTAACATCGGCTATTTCACCTCTAGCTCGGAAAATCGTACTCATATCATAGTGCGGTCGTGAACATTTATTTAAGAACTTATTTGATAATTAATTAAATTAACAACAATACACCCTGAACCATTTCCTTTTGAATCCATTATGTAATGCTAAAACAATTTGAAGCTAATCAATCTAATAGCAAACCCAAGTAAATGTTAATAAGCTCTAGTTATTTATGCTGCAGTAAATTTCCCATTTTTATGCCCCATGGCGTATAGTTATTGAACCGTCAATATGTCTGTCCGTCCTTCAGTACAAGGTTAACCTTACACGGCATATCGGATTTGTCTTAAGTTCTACCTGTACCAATAACAATAATACAAAGTACACGAGGTGCTCCTCTACCATCAAAGCTGGGACCGACACTGTATCGGTGTAACGTAAAATCCAATCTAACAAAGTACATGATCTGGGCAAGTTTCATAACATAATGCTGACTGCCATGTTTCCCAAGTTATTGCCCTTTTCAGCACTTTGATAATGAATACAGTTAACCGGCAAGTTGGATTTATCTTAAAATTATCCTAATTACCTCATTTATTTAATGAAATATTCCATATTTGATATGTAGATACATGAAATGGTCGTCTAACTTATTTGTGGGGTAACGGATTACTGAGGACAAGGTCATTGTTGTAAAAAATAAATTTAAACATCTTTTGCACAAACAGCGTTTATTTTCAAATCGATGTCTTTGGTGCTTAAAACGGACATGCCAGTGGAGGTCTGTTTCCTTTTGGGTTCAGTGAGGGGTCATTTGTATTAAGGTCACCAATGTCAGAGAAAGATGTTTACACTTTTTAAGCTCATTTTATATTGACTGATGTCTATTATATTGAGTAGGATCATAAAAAATAACGAACCTTCTTCCTTTAGATGGAGTAAGTGGTCAGTTTGGTAAGCCACCTGTGCTAAAAATATATATTTTTTTAATATTTTGTCCTACAGCCTTTATTAATTGACAAAGGTTTTTTTCATATTTTGAAAGAACATACCTTGAATGGTTAAGTGTTGAGTCAAGAGTCACAGGCTCCATGTCATTTGTGCTAAGAGTAGACTTTTTACATTTTTTATACAGCTTTTTTTATCACTGTCTCATATTTACAAGGAATATACCTCAGGTGATCCTTTAAGAATTGACGGACTTTGAGGTCACTGGGTTCAATGTCAAAGACTTACATTTATATATATTTGTTTGATAAGTTGAATATTTTTCAACCTCATCACAAGTCATAGCAATGTCTTGCCAACTTATATTGTTTTACAATTACGAGAATACACCATAACTCAAGTTATATAATATTTCAGCAATATTTCTGTCGTCTATTACTGAGTGAATCGGTAAACGTTTTGCTTTTGAAAAAATGTTACTGACAAGAATGGGAGCTTGGGCATTTCTGTAATTGTTTGTTTGTTGTTTTTTATGTTGTTGCTTTTTCTTTCGTCTTTAGGTTCAACAGTATGTGTTTTATCACCTTGGATGCCTTGGAGTGCAAATTTTGGTTTTGGTCAACAGTCGCGTGCAAGGACGGTCAAATCAGGACAACCAGGGACACAGTGCGGGAAACTTGAAGAAGTCCGCTACACTGGTAAATGCAAAACAGAGAACTAACATAAGCAACATAAAAGCAATCAAAGAATAACTAATATATGTTACGATGTGTTCCTGGCATTAGGTTTAATCACAAAAATAATATTTTCTGTATCGAGATATTTAAAATGCTTAAGTTTATAGAAATATGAAACAAAATTCAGCATATTTCATCGGACACTTAACATATGATTATTAACGTACATTTAATTAATAAAGGTATTATTTATCTACATCAACTGGTGTAACGATAATATCAACGAATGCATGTAACTTTGATGTTATTTCTATTTTCAATACGACGTTCGTTTAAACATTAGTACATGAAGTTAAATTCTTAAACTTTACAAATTTACAATATTCTTTGCCAATTACAGTAAATCTATCCGCCACTCATGGGCACCACCATACGTTAGATATGTATTAGTATTACATTAAGTTATTTTAAAATATTTGAGTAAAAAATATCATGTATATTTGGTATATTTAGCCATTGCATCATATTTCTCAGGTAAAGTTCCTACTGTGAAAGAAACGGCAAATAATATAAAGAATTTCTTTTTGCGACCAACTGGACAAAGTCTTACTCTTAGAAGTGGTACTACAATTTTACCAAGAGATTTGGTGCTTATCTTAGACAGTTCTGGAAGTATTGGCGTTTCGAATTTTAACCTCGCAAAGGAACAATTAAGCAAACTTGTAGGTCTGTTGTGTCCGATCCCTCCATTTGATAGGATTGTCGGATTTCAATATCAATATAACCAAGCTGCCATGGTGACGTATTCGACGGATGTGTTAACAAACTTTTATTTCAGTACACACAGTACCACAGTCAGTATTCAGAATGCCATCAGAAGTGTCCCATATTTAGGAGGGTTGACATATACCAACAAAGCATTTGATCGCAGCCTGGTACAGGTAATGTAATTTTCTGAATATTTCTGAATAATTTCCATTACTCTCTCACTTTGAACAAATATTCCTACAATTATAGCTGTCTGCCAGAGCATTAAGTTTGTTTAGACCATGAGAGTATATCACAGATATAATTCTAACAAGAACTGTTTCTAAAACGAGTACAGCTTGATATAATTCTATCATGACTGTATACGAAAATCGAGGTTTATGTGTCAAAGAATGCCACTTACGTGTGTCGGACTACATATTCGTCTGTTTGTTTCACCAAAAGATGAAATGAACAAAACAATGCAACATTTAAGAAAACATGTAATACGAGAGTAGGTCAATATATAACGCAATTTGGTCAATACATTTAAGCAAAGAGCAAATATTTTACAATTTCCTATTTCAAAATCATCACCTACAGAAACAAAAAGTTTCAGACGTTCAATCCAAGTTTTAAATGGTTCATCATAGTCTTCCTAGGTATACCTTTCAATAACTAAAAATGGTCGGCCCAAAGCAATAATTCTCTTGAAGCGATGTCTTTGCAGTATGTTTGGTCAGTCTAAGATAAAGGAAAAACTCAGCAAATATGGATAATACGGATATGGATGTAAGCGACAGTAACTCGTTGTTCATTTTACAAAGTGACAGAACGGCCTATAGAAACAAAAATTGAGACAACAGTTCCACGGGTATTGCTTGGCAATGCATAGAAAAGGCACATTTCTGGTCGCCAAAATCTTGATGCACTTTCGAAGGTGCATTAAAAAGTGAAACCAGCTGTCACACCAGTCACATTATTACACAAATGGCAACTGTCATAGTTAAGAAAAACGTTTGGTAATTTTTGGGCTCCTGCTGTGTCGATATCTCAAGCATATGACATTTATTTTCCATGAAACACCAAGTAATGTTATTTTATTCATTTAATCTTACTGAAACGTTAAACTTAGTTACATCGAAAGATTGATGCACAGGGCATCTCGAGTTTCATATTTTTTCCACGCGCTTAATCAATACAGTATTTGAAGCCACAAACATAATAAAAATGAGGTACGATATAGTTTTATCCTTGCTCTCACACTGGAAAAAGTCATAATGAAGTGTTTATGCGTATAAAAGCTACTTAGCTCATTTTTTAATTCTGTATAAAACGGGTACGAGAAGCACAGACATCTGGAAATGCTTTAAAAAGCAGACATTGCAAAAATATTTACAACTGAGTTATTTTCAACAGCGTCAAACTTGTGTGAGGGTAAAAAAATGAGTGTGACCAATTTTAGAACAGACAGACAAAAAGAGTCAAACAACGGCCCCCTCCTTGAGCGTAATAGAAATTATTTTAAATGATAGATGTTATTTCTATACGGATCTTGCTGATATTCTTCTTGATTTAAGTCGCGATTCCGTTTAAAAATATAATTGTACTTAACAAATTGACATGAATTAGATGTGTGCACGGCGAGATTTACTGATGTTGACAAGTGATGAAAAGACAAAAATGGTTAAGGTTTCAAGTAAATTCTAGAAGGATGGGAGACGTACAACGAGAGACTCTTTATCGTATTATAACAGCAAAAAGAATTTCAATAAATTTTAAGACAACATATCTAAAAGAGAAACTGTGTTTCAGAATCAACCTCCAAAAGCAAAAATACCAAGCCACCCAAGAAAAAGACACAGACTCGAACCTCGTATAACATATTTATATTAATTGACTTTTATCTATATTTAATTTCAGACTAATGCAGCAGTGCAAACTTTTTAAATTTTGACTCTTTTTCCTAATTTTCCATTGACTTCATCTTACAGACAGATTGTAAGTGACTACAAAGAGAAAACTCGCACATAATACGTAATGTGATTTATAGATCTTTAAATAGCACATATTTTTCAAATTCCTTGTCGCGTCTTGAATATCTACAATTATGTCAACAGTTATTTATTCCAATAATTTTCCATTCTTTTGAATAGATTTCAAAAATTATATCAAAAGTATTTACTTTTTGTTCAAAGACATTAAATATACAATGTTTAAAGTGTAGACAATCTGTCACTTAGGAAATCTTGTTTAAATTAGTCTGGTAGAGACTAATTGTTTAATGTCATGGTGTTAAACCATATTTATTCATTTACGAAAAAATAATATAATAGCCATTCAACGTTCAATTTCGGCATTTCGTTTGGAAATGTAGTGAGAAAGTCGCCTGAAATTGAGGAAAACAGTTGGGAAAACAGATTTTAAAATCTTAAGTAATGTTATTGATTTAAACTTATATTAAAGCATATAATGAAAAGAAAATGTGTTATATTTTGTAAACTAAGATGCAATTTTATTTCATCTCTTGAAAACAGTATTCTTACGGAAAAATACTGATATTTCTCAAACTGGAATATTTCAGGTGTACGAAATGCGGCATATGCTAAACGAGAGGTACTTATTCTGACTGATGGACGGTCTACTAGTCGAACGTCAACTCTGGCTGCGGTTGCACAACTCAAACAAGTAGCGGACGTATACGGTTTAATGATAGGAACCTATTCACTGGCTGGCATGATGGAACTCACACAATACGTGTCTTCACCGATAAATGAACATTTATTTTATTTACAAAATTTCCAACAACTAAATGATCTGTTAACATACATTGTATACTTAAAGCAGCAGGCTGGTGCATACTGGTGTGCACCTTTTAAACCTTTTCCATTTAAGCAACCTGTTATCGTCCGCCCAGATATCAATTTACCTCGCGACATATTATTAAAAGTTTAAGACACTTCGGAAACTGAGAAGTGAAATTATCATCAAAAGCCGTTGTAAAACACTATAGAATTGTCAAGTGCTTTGATGTTAATTGTCCAGTATAAAAATAATTATGTATCGCTATAATTACAAATAGATACCTGATACAATTATGTGTATTTACGTTTAGTAATGTATTTTTTTTTGAATGTACAGTAACACATATTCGTCTGCTTTCAGTAACCTATTTGTCAGATCGACCGTCTTCTCATTTACTATAGAAATGCACCGTCTGGATGTTATATACATTTGAGTTTGATTTATGTTTCTGTTTGAATTGCATAGTTATAATTGTTTGAAAACATGAGGACCAGTCAATAAATCAGTGTGATTGAAAAAAGTCACTGGTGATAAAAAATATATAATAACATCGGAAATTAATATATTTTCATCAGACCAATAAAAGATATGTTAGTAAAATATATGCGTGTACTGCATGCATTCAGATGAACCAAGGTATTTCAAGAGACTCAAACGAGAGAGAAATGTAGAAAGTTTTAATAAAAGTAGAAATATTCAGAATTAAAGAAATAATTTACATGCTATATGCCATTCACGACTGATTTTACCGTATTTATCACCATATTTATACTGCATGACAAACGCAGCAAGAACTTTTTTTGCATATTCTGATCTATTTTTTGGTAATTTACGAGTCAAATGATATCCCCTCGTGTCACACGCAATGTTTCGATTTTTTGAGTTTTTCCATTTCGAAAGATAATGATAAACGGAGCTGAGCAAAGTCTTACAACATGCCCCTATGTAAATCTGTCACGATGTTAAATCCTTTGCTTTTGGTTGAATTTATAAACATACCTTTATGTAAATCTGTCACAATGTTAAATCCTTTGCTTTTGGTTCAATTTATAAACATGCCTTTATGTAAATCTGTCACAATGTTAAATCCTTTGCTTTTGGTTGAATTTATAAACATGCCTTTATGTAAATCTGTCACAATGTTAAATCCTTTGCTTTTGGTTGAATTTATAAACATGCCTTTATGTAAATCTGTCACAATGTTAAATCCTTTGCTTTTGGTTGAATTTATAAACATGCCTTTATGTAAATCTGTCACAATGTTAAATCCTTTGCTTTTGGTTGAATTTATAAACATGCCTTTATGTAAATCTGTCACAATGTTAAATCCTTTGCTTTTGGAAATTGAATTTATAAACATGCCTTTATGAAAATCTGTCACAATGTTAAATCCTTTGCTTTTGGTTGAATTTATAAACATGCCCATATGTAAATCTGTCACAGTGTTAAATCCTTTGCTTTTGGTATTTATAAACATGCCTTTATGTAAATCTGTCACAATGTTAAATCCTTTACATCAACATCTTGAAGCCATTGAATTGGTATCAAAAATGTATCATAGCAAACTCTTTTAAACTTTACATCTCGAAGTGTATGTGTCTGGTTTACACTTTTAATATAAATGTTGTGGCATATTTGCTAGCAGTCGAAAATGTCACATTTTGACACTCATAATAAAATAAAGAAAAAACAGAATCCCTAAAGGAAGTTCAACACAACAAAATTGAAAATGGTGCAGGCTCGGTTTGATTGAGCCTGTTCAAGGAAGGTACTGGAAAGTGCAAGTAACCGTCCACGCCCCTAGCACCGGTTTAAGCAAAATTCAACATTTAACACAAAAATGGAATAATTTTGAATTGATAAAAATCCCCAGATGTGTTCATACGGCGGTTATTATGGCACCTTC